ACTGTTGATAGTGTTGGTGATTTGGTCAACTTGCATGGGGGTGTATGCACGTGTGAGTGGGTGAGCGCACGCACGCACACACAATCTCGCACATTCTGAGATAGTTGACGAGATATAATTCGAGCGCTGTTGATGTGATTGTTGTGTCTTGGGTGTTGGATGTGTTGAAAAGTTTTGGGCTCGTCCGGGATTGGAACCCGGGACCACTCGCACCCTAAGCGAGTATCATACCCCTAGACCAACGAGCCGTTCATCCGCAACAACATGCATTATCCACAACCCAATACCACACTTACTCTACAACAACAACAACATACACTCTCACTACCACATTTATTAATCACACACACCAAATTTACTACTTCACCAACATCCAATACACATTAAATATATCAATCAATCAATCAATCAATCAACCAACCAACCAACCAACCAACCAACCAGTCACACACGTCACACACCTCACACCCAACCACTAATCCTCTATCTTCACATTTACAGATAGCCAGCTTGCCAGCCTCACACCCACTCAACACATACATCCAACCAATCACGTCCAATCCGACCCACACCGACTATCTGTGCAGTGAGTGAGAGAACGTGCTACAGTTGACTATTACTACATGTCGATGGTTTCCAGTGTTAACTATCACCTCCCTTACACAATGGTTTCATTCAGTGTGTACATACAAATCTACTGGATCGATGTGCTCGAATGACTCAGTGATCAGTGATCAGTGATCAGTAGGTGACAGTGGCAAACGTGGCAACCGTCAATGTGGAATATATTTACGGACAAAGCATACAGCAAGTGCGATGTTCATCGTCAGTGTCAAGGTGGTCGTCATCATTGTCATCATCATCTTCATCCATTACACTGTGATTAGAATAACCGGACTGATAGTGCTTAATAATGATAATAATGATATGAGAATGAGAATGACGGAACTGTTTTTTGTGTATGATTTATTTTGTACTGCAGATATGCTATTAAACTGTAAGCGCTATACTGGCGATCGCCGTGTCTTTGTGAAATCTATAGTCAGAACAAAGACAACTTGGCTTTAAACTTTATCTTTTTATAATCATAAAAACAATTATATTAGTACAATAATTTGAGAATTGCAGTCATTAAGTGTAACGCACTAACATACCGACCAGTATTGCGTTTCTTATTAAAATGAATAAAATTTATGAGTCACACTAATATAATAGGATAATAATGTCTTTCGATTGGTAGGTCACATGCAACAGGGATAGTTTACAAACATATCAGATTGACGTGGTGGGAGCTTAAGCAACGATTTAATTGGTTAGTTATGGACATAACTTACAGATAGTGTTGGTGATTTGGTCAACTTGCATGGGGGTGTATACACGTGTGAGTGGGTCGAAAAAATTGATTTCTAGCAATACGATTATGAGAAAGTTCGAGAGAATAACAGGTAAATAATCTTAGAGTAATGTTCACGACATGGATTACTCAACTCAGACACGAAGACTGAATCTGCGATTTAGTAATCGGAATCACACTCTTACCCATGTCCCCTCTCCTAATATTGCTAGGAAGCGAGAAGTTAGAATAAAGGGGAGTTGCAAACTGTCTATGGTTCAGACTTGTACTATTATAACACAAAAAAGATACTTGTGTCGCATGATCGCCGTCCATTAAAACTAGAAACTCAGAATTTGGGTGTATTTCATGTAGGTGCCTCTGTGATACTTCAGTACATAGGCAGTACTGCGGGTTTGTGTTAAGTCTCCCTTGTTTGTGGTTCTGGTACATTTTCCTGCAGAGTAAAGGAAAGACAGAATTGAAAGCAACCGTAAAATTTCCAATTAGTATATCTGAAGAGTCAAAGACAAGACTGAAACACATGTGCGGATATGAGGGCGACAAACCAAGACCAAACACCAATGAAAATAACGATTGCAGCTAATACTCGAGTATCTGTTGACATTAAGAAACAGTAGATGAATGTTGAGAGATGAAATAGCAGTCATTAGATTCACGCACAACTCCCAAGGAAATGAAAGCAGGCCATTCTCTATCTAACCCCCAAGAGAGCTAACAGGAAGACTCAGCCTGTTACAGTTCAGTGAAAGGTTATAGGAAGACTGGTCAATGAATAAATCAGGGAATAATTGGATAATGAACAAAATCCATGAAGCCCAACACAGGTTCAGGAAAGACAGGTCTTGAACATCTTATCCACTTGCAGTACGGGGAAGCTGAACAACCTGCTGGGAGCAAAAGATTCCGGTTCGTATAGTATTCTTCGATATCTCGATAACATTTGTCACAACAACTCATATACCTTCCATAAAGAATGTTACAAAGTTGAGTTTCACTGACCTATTTTTATCCTGGCTTCGAGACTACCGAATAAATGTGATGTTTCGTATCGATGTAAATAGAGCGCACGCTAAGTTGGAATGTCTCAACATCAGGAGTCGCACAAGGAACATTCATTTTCTTAGTCCTTATAAACGAGATGTTAAGTAATGCTGGCTCAGATGATACTGTCATTTGCACACGACGTAAAGATCTGCATGTCTACAAAAAGCAAAAAGTATTCAATTGACCAAATGGATAGTCTATGTAAACATAGCCTGTCGAAATGTTATTGTAGCTATTAATAAATCCTTAAAATCAATAGTTCTGTAAGTGTTCGACATTGGATAAATTTGCACCTGATATGCCCTCATTTTTCTTGTCTTCCAAAACAGAAAATTTACGAGGACACTCCACAAAAGTCCACAAGCCCAGAACGAATTTCGTGTCAGCTTACTACCGACTTTCCCATCGAATCATTAACGAGTGGAATTCATTACCACAGCACGTGGTTGAGGCTCCTTCCGTCGACTCTTGCAAAAGAACTTTTGATCAACTGAGACCATCATTGCCAGGACTAACACAGGCCATCAGGCCTCCTGTCCTTTCGAAACTAAAACTGAAACTGAAACCACCCTCGTTTCAACCAATGCCTTTTTGGCCGGACAATATAAAAGCCTGGTTCTGCTACGCGGAAGCCGACGTTCACGAGCACAACATTATTGATTCACGCGCACAGTTCCCCGCAGTTGTAAAGACACTACCGCGCGAATTCAACAGGTACGTAACACCTAGTATGTTTACTAGTGATATTTCTGAGACGCGGAGAGCTAACTGATCGACGAAGGTTAGACGAATTCCTTAATAACATTGACTAGCAACATGGTTCTGCGACAGACATGTTGCTAAGGTTGAGGTAATTTATTAGCCAAAGGACTTTCGATGTAGACATATTAAAACAACTTTTCTCATCTAAAATTCTGCAACATGTTCAAAAAGTTCTAGTCTCGTTTCAAAACAACGTCGTAGACGAGCTGGATGCATCTGCCAACCGCATACTTGAAATAATGAAGGCTTCTAACACCGAGGTATTTTCAGTCAAAGAGAAGCCTCAAACGAACCACATTGACCTTGCGGAATTATGTCATACGCTGACACACCACTTTCGATTTCGTAATGACCGTAAACGATCGCAAACCCCGCGAAGAAGCATTTCACGTGGGGGATCTGTCCCTAGGCCACAAGAGACGGATAACCCCGATCAATGCTGTTATCATAACCAGTATGGAACGTCTTCCAGAAATTACAGAAAACCCTGCAATTATCCGAACTCCAAATTCACTGAAACGAAAAACAACTTGGAAAATTTTCAAGCCGGCACGCGTTAACGGCAATCGTAGCCGGCGAACATAGCCACTGTTTATGCGTCACAGATGTGACCACGAAAGTTTGCTACCTCGTCGATACTGGCGCAGAAGTTAGCAATCTTCCTGCAAATTCCAACGACAGGCTTCACGAATCTGATTTAAGCTTACAGGCGGCAAACGGAAAGCCAATCGCAACATATGGTAAAAGGTACGTTTACCTTAACATGGGTTTATGCAAACACATTCACTGGACTTTCGTGATTGCAGATGTTTCTATGCCAATCATTGGTATAGACCCGCTACAACACCACAATCTACTCATTGATACACGCAAACAAAGGCTAGTGAACGAACTTTGTTTTATGATTACTATACTGTATTTCAAGGCCCTTTATGGTAAGGAAAGAAGATCAGACGCTGCAAAATATAGCAAGCTATCGGAAGAATATTCACCGACGACAAACTCGTTGGGTTTTAACTTCTGACTGGTCACGTCATAGGGTCATCACTACCTCACCAGGGGGGCAGTGAACAAATTACCAAAATCATTAGTTCTGTAAGTGTTCGACATTGAATGATGACCACATTAGCTTTAGTGGAATCATTTGGTTAAAGGTGCTCGGTCATGAATCCGTAATAGATCACGTTTTAGAGCGGCATCTCCTGCAATCATTAATCAGAACAGACAAGTCACTTGTCAAAATGTGTCTCAGGAAGAATAATAATCAAACTGGTCTGTCTGGAAGCTAGAACAACCCACCTGAGGTTGACATAGTGCTAGATACTACATGCTCTCACTCTTTCCCATAAAGTTGCCTCAAGTCAGAATACCTTACTGGTTAAAGTTGCCACAACAATACCGGTGGATAACTTTAAGGGGGGATTTAACAAACACGTACTCCCCTATGGATTTTCACCTCCTTATTGATCTAATTGTCTCTCATACATGTCTCAAATTGCTACAGTTATCATAATCTTGTATCACAAACTACTTCCTATACTTCTTAATTCAATATCTGCTTTCCTATTTCCTATTTTCATCCCGCTTTCCTACACAACAACAATTATTTATTTATTTTCGAGACAAAATGAGTGCCTTCGAAATAAAAAATTACAACACAAAATAAGGCAATGGATCAATATCTGCTGACCAGAAGACGCTGGATATACACAGTTGTTACTCTATGATTTGTTTCAGTGTGCCACCATTCAAGGTCGCTTAGCGGTGATTGCAGATCGCTCGGTTAATTTTGGAATTATTTAACTGTCACCTTGTCGTTTCTGACTGTCATCACAATATGACATCATCAGATAATCTCCCTCTTAATGAACTTGAAAAGGAATTGCTAGATCCGAATTCGGAATGTTATTTGGAAAATTTGTTGGATGTGGTTTCAGCATTGGTTAGTGATTGTGATTTCCCTTCCGCTAAAAACTCAAAAAGCGTACAGTCTTTCCTTAAAAAGTATGTACAATGTTTTTGTTGTGCCCATTTTGAGTTCTCCAAATGTAGTAAACTATATGCATTTGAATATATTTAAATATAATGTAGTCCCGATGAACTCATCGGAAGTCTTCACCAATACATCTTCCTTACAGTTTTTTCTCTTCTAACCGTGCGGGGCATTGCCCCTGGAGTGTTGTGTGTATTGGTCATCCTGTGTATCTAGTTCGCATAGATCCCGTTTTCATTTCCCTCAGGAAGACCACTCAATCTTTTGGGACAGGAAAAAAGCCCTATTTCAATTCACAACACTAAATAATTTGGTCATTATTAAGTTTCGTCATTTTTACATTTTGAGTTAAGATAGGCTTTTCGAGGGTCAAGCCAATTTTTTAATCTGTGGAAAGAATGAATCCACTGTTTCAGTTTTTCTTTAACTGCAAGCAACCATATTATGTAAAAGACTGTGATGTAGCTACCATACCAGAAAGCATCAACTCTATATAAATAATTACGAATTAGTGGTCTGTTTACCAACTTACTGAAAAGTGATTTGCGTCTAGAGATTAAAAAGTATTTCAGTATCATCGTTGATTTGGAATTATGGGCAACTGGAAAGTTTCTAGAGGCCAGTTCAACTTTTTTTCAAAGTGTTTCACCGGTCATTCTAGTAATGTATAGAAAAAGTGCATCATGATATCTTTTTCGGATATTGTCCCACTATAAGCTGGTTTTTAATACGTTGCCTTGGGGAGTCTGAATAGCCGTTTAGTGTTTGATATGACTGCATAACATTTGAGTTAGGTAGTTTTCATAACGTAAGATTTGTGCGGCGCATATGTATCTGGTGCTTCCTTGTACCAATATTTATGTGTTTAAATAAATAAATAAAGAGATTGAATGGTCTGTAGTTCCTTACTCATCCATCATTTATTTGTTAAATGACTTATATTTATTCCTATGTCCAATATTTTGTACGTATTTTGTTTTGTTAGAAAGGACGGTTCTTCTGGTCAGCGGTCTGGTCTTTGATCTCTTATCATTTGACGTTTCCCGTCAATAGTCCGGTTCCTTGACCAGTTATCACTTAGCCGCACTGTATCATTGTCTATCTTTCGATCTGGATTCTATTAATTCATCTTAACAATTACAACTCTCATTCAGTCGATAAATCTTATTTCACAACAGTGTTACGCAACGCTGCCACATTTATTTCAGCTTTGTCCCAGTACTGAAATTGTGTTTTGTTGTCAGTAACATACTAACCTGTGTTGCTCTCGCCATGGCATGAACTGAAAGTAATACTGGCTGTGAAGTGAGACTGTAATTAATGAGCGATCCTCGAGTGACGCTAGACTGACCTTGAGAGTATCCACCTAATACCTAGGACCAAATGAGGGTTATAAACTTGTGAGCAATTGGAATTATGATTCACAGTTGATGGTTAAGGTCAGGAATTATACCTAGGGTTTTCATCACGAACCGATATCAGCTCTAATGCCAAAACACTATATAACCAAAATTGATTAGTGAATTTCGAGCCAAAATCCCAGACCTGTTGTCTAAAATCTGATTGGTTCATCCATAAATTATTGTCTCGCCGGCTATGCTAAATTTAATCCAGTGTAGGATCTGAGTTGAGTGTTAGATGCTGACCGAAAGATAGTATGAAGATATTTCAGAGCCATTCAACGGTGTGTGTGTGTGGTAAGAAGACATCCTTGAAAGAGTATTGAGTGTCTTGGAAATATATAAACAAGACCATTCACAATGTGTTTTAGTAATCTTGGAATAAAGATCAAATATATTGTGTTGAATGGAAACAAAGAAAAAGAAGAGAATAAGGTTTATAACTTTCTGTTTTGGTTTTAGAGCAAACAGTCAGATGCTTACACCTTTGAGTGAGTCCCACACTGACCCCATTCACAACCGTAGATTATTTATTGCTACTGTATTAGAGTTACTGCCGGTCCCAAGCCCGGGTAAAGGAGGAGGGTTGGGCATGGGGTTAGCGACCCCATCCCGTAGAAAAGCTAACTCGCTAAAAAAACGCTAACCGGAAAATATAATTCAAACCATTTAAACTCTGCCCTGGGAGTTGAAGGAATAATTATGACGTCTCATGATGAAAGCCGGAATTCTTCGGAAGTCACGAGACCGATGCACCTTCTAACAACCAGAGCAATACTCTTTATAGGTACATGGGACGTCCGGACAATGTGGGAGACAGGAAAAACCAGCCAAATAGCAATGGAAATGAGAAGATACAACTTGGCAGTACTCGGAATCAGCGAAACCCATTGGACACAAACTGGACAACAAAGGCTAGGTACAGGAGAGATGCTGCTGTACTCCGGTCACGAAGGGCAAAATGCTCCACACACTCAGGGAGTTGCTCTAATGCTGTCCAAAGAAGCACGAAATGCACTTGTGGGATGGGAATCTCATGGACCCAGGATAATCAAAGCATCATTCAGAACAAAGAAGCAAGGGATCACAATGAACGTTATCCAATGTTATGCACCCACCAATGATAGCAACGACGATGATAAAGATCAGTTCTATGAAAGGCTGCGATCAATTGTAGCAAAGTGCTCACGAAAGGACCTCACCATCCTGATGGGAGATCTAAATGCTAAAGTTGGAGTGGACAACACAGGATACGAAGATATAATCGGACGACATGGACTAGGAGAGAGAAATGAAAATGCGGAGAGACTTGCTTTCAACAAATTGGTTATAGGCGGCACAATATTCCCACACAAACGCATACACAAAGGTACATGGATCTCACCGGACCACACCATAGAGAACCAGATAGATCACATCTGTATCAACAAAAAATTCCGAAGATCAATGGAAGATGTGAGAACCCGGAGAGGAGCTGACATAGCTTCAGATCACCACCTGGTTGTGGCCAAGATGAGACTGAAGCTAAAGAAACACTGGACAACTGGACAAACAGCACTACAAAGGTTCAATGCAGCCTTCCTTCGAGATACTAACAAGCTCCATGAATTCAAGATAACTCTTAACAACAGGTTTCAAGCTCTACAGGATCTACTGAATGAACAAGAAACTACTTTGGAGGACAACTGGAAAGGGATAAAAGAAGCACTAACTTCAACGTGTCAGGAGGTTCTTGGTCCTAAGAAGCATCATCACAAGGAATGGATCTCTATGGGAACCCTGGACAAAATTCAAGAAAGGAAGAACAAGAGACTAGCAATTAACAACAGCCGAACACGAGCAGAGAAAGTCAAAGCACAAGCAGACTACGCAGAAGCAAACAGGGAAGTGAAGAAAAGCATTAAAGCCGACAAGCAGAAATACATGGGAGAACTAGCAACGACGGCGGAAAAAGCTGCAAGAGAAGGGAATATGAAACAACTATATGATACAACGAAGAAATTGGCAGGGAGATATAGCAAACCAGAGAGACCAGTCCAAGACAAAGAAGGAAAGACAATCACTGAGATTCAAGAACAGAGGAATAGATGGGCAGAATACTTCGAGGAACTGCTGAATAGACCAGCCCCATTGAATCCACCGAACATCGAAGCAGCCCACACAGACCTTCCAATAGATGTCACTCCACCAACGATCGAAGAAGTCAAGATGGCCATCAGACAAATCAAAAGTGGGAAGGCGGCAGGACCTGACAATATACCAGCAGAAGCACTGAAGTCAGACATTGAATTAACTGCAAACATGCGTCACCTTCTATTCAAAAAGATTTGGGAAGAGGAACAAGTGCCAACGGACTGGAAAGAAGGATATCTCATCAAGATACCAAAGAAAGGAGATCTGAGCCAATGTGAGAACTACAGAGGTATCAGTTTGTTATCAGTACCAGGAAAAGTTTTCAACAGAGTGCTGCTGAATCGGATGAAAGACGCAGTAGACGCCGAACTTAGGGATCATCAGGCTGGATTCCGTAAGGATCGGTCGTGCACAGACCAGATTGCGACACTACGGATCATCGTTGAACAATCAGTTGAGTGGAACTCATCACTATACGTCAACTTTATTGACTTTGAGAAGGCGTTTGACAGCGTGGACAGGAGAACATTATGGAAACTTCTTCGACACTATGGAGTTCCTGAAAAGATTGTCAACATTATCCAAAACTCATACGATGGACTACAGTGCAAAGTGGTGCATGGAGGACAGCTGACAGATGCATTTCCAGTAAGTAGCGGAGTCAGACAATGCTGTCTACTCTCCCCATTCCTCTTCCTTCTAGTGATTGACTGGATTATGAAGAATTCGACATTTGAGGGGAAATACGGAATACAATGGACTTCTCAGAATCAATTAGATGATTTGGACTTCGCAGATGACCTAGCCCTCCTCTCTCATACACACGACCAAATGCAGATGAAGACAGCAAATGTAGCAGCAGCCTCCGCATCGATAGGCCTCCACATTCACAAAGGAAAAAGCAAGATTCTCAAATGCAACACGGAGAACACCAACCCAATCACATTTGATGGCGAAACTCTGGAAGAGGTGGAAACATTCAAGTACCTGGGGAGCATCGTTGATAAACAAGGAGGATCGGATGCAGATGTAAAGGCGAGGATTGTCAAAGCAAGGGCAGCATTTCTACAATAGAAGAACATATGGAACTCAAAACAACTCTCAACCAATTTCAAGGTCAGAATCTTTAATACGAACGACAAGACAGTCCTACTGTATGGAGCTGAAACGTGGAGAACTACTACGGCCATCATCAGGAAGGTACAAGTATTTATAAACAGTTGTCTACGCAAAATACTCAACATCCATTGGCCGGATACTATCAGCAACAGCGTTTTATGGGAGAGGACAAACCAGCTTCCAGCTGAAGAGGAAATTAGGAAAAGACGTTGGAAGTGGATCGGACATACATTAAGGAAATCACCAACGTGCATCACTACTCAATTCGTAACTTGGAATCCGGAAGGGAAGCGGAAAAGAGGAAGGCCAAAGAACACACTACGCCGGGAAATAGAAGCCGGTATGAAAAGGCTGAATAG